GTTCTTATGAATGCAGATAAATCGAAAATACTGACTCCATTTGTTGTACACTTGAAGTTGTTCAAAATGATTTCTATTTTTTGCAAGCTGTTAAATGGAAACTTTTCCAGTTTAATTAAAAATTAAGATGTTGGTTGGGTGGTAAGACTCCTAAGCAGTGTGCCCCACACAGGTAATCAATTACACCCCTGGATTTCTGCTGCCATGTGCAAAATAGATAACAAGGTTTTTCTAGGGGGAAAATATAGCCAACCTTTATCATACGCTTCAAACACCGCAATAAACAAAGCCTTTCCGGCAGCTCCAAAAATAAAATGTTTCAGTATTTCGAAACTCAGGCTCACCTCTGCTCTTGATCACTGTGCCGTTTGTTGTACGGGGGACGTAGGAGGGGTTGCTGTGATGAGCACTAAGTGGTGATCTGGAATATTCTATCTCCCACACGCGTGAGCAAAGCCTCTGACTGGTTGGTGTTGTGGGTGTTTGAGATGGTTAGTCATGGCTGGGCTTGTAAGTCACGTAGCTGCAGGTGGAAACATATTTACTAAAGTTGTTAAACAGATAATCACCCGCCTGTTTGTAATTCTGATGACGTGGGGGGAAATTGCATGTGGGACAAAAAATTATGATAGATAGTGTCAAAAAGTTAAATAAATTGACCAATCAGAGAACTTGATTGGACCCGTGGGTCACGTAACACTTCTTAGAACACTTTGCTAATTATCTGTAATTGTGGGCAATTAGGACACCATTTCCGACGCACAGACAGTTGGAACGGCTTTGGATGGACTTTCCCCGGACAAAGATTTCAGGGATGGCAGGTGCGGATGTAAATGGGGGGGGGGGGGGGGTACTCCTGCCAATGTCAGTACATAAAATGGGCTTCAACTGTCAGGTCAGAATCTTGTGAAAAATGGGACAGACAGCAAATAGTGGGTGGCGTCAGTGCTTGGGGTCATAAAGTTATTACTGGGCGTCGTGTTAAAGCAGGCAGTCTGTTTAAAAATTTTGCGATACACTAAAGTGGGGGGGGGGGGCTTTTAGTGTATGTACCCATTCATCCATCAGATATCTCTCAACCCAAAACAATCTAAACTTTCACCCACCTTAGATAACCAGTTAACCACCTCAGGTTTGCTATAATTCCAGGAGGTCTGGGGCACCCCTTGGTGGGATGGCATTTGCCCACACAGTCACACACTATTGGTAATTTGGAGACACAACCTCCACGCACACGGAACCCACATCCCTGGAGGTGCAAGGCTACGGTTCAGCCTACGCTTCTCATTCCTTCAAAATAAAATGACATAAAGGGAAACGGTGCTCTCATTTTTAAAGCACATGTAGTTCTAACAAGTAGAGCATGGTACTACCAATGCAATGGCTGTGGGTTTAAGTTCCAGTGAGCACATACTAATTCTAACCCTTCCCTCTATACTGTGAATCGCTTGGGATAAAAGTGTCGGGTAAATGGAGCTAGATTTAAATATTTATATACAAAGATGGGTGATTATTTGGCCATTTGTGTAACTGTGTTAAAGACACATGGTACATATCCGTAATGCTAGATCCCGGCCTCTGTGCCTGACCTGCCAGCTGCTGTAGTAATAGATAATGCTTGGTAATTAACGTTTAGACTTGCTGTCTGAATGAAAGAGGAACCCGGCCTACTGCAGATCTGGGCCCCGGCGCTGAATGACATGAGTGTGTATGAAGCGTTTTGCTCAGATTTCTTACTGCTGTCTTCAGCTCCGGCTGTATTTACATACACAGTCAGGTAGCATTTGATGAAAACTACCTGAATTCGTTGGCCCATCTGAGCCGCAACGAGTTGGGTCCAAACCCAGGTTGAAATGCGTAGTACGGCCGTCATTAGTTTTACCGAAAATGTGATGCATGAGAAGGATGGTTGCCGTTTTAAAATGGTATGCGCTTAAAACGTAAATCATATATTCACTTATAAATTAATAGTATTTTTAGAGGCTTCTATAGAGGTGGGGCCACAGGGGCTCTGGCACGAGCTGATAGCTGATTGGCCCCCAGAGTACCCCCTCCCCCGTAACTTACCAATTCAAATCACGTCATTGGCTAATGATAAGGTTGGCCCCTCTACATGAATTATGGCCCCTCTTACACTACCCACTTAAAAAATATCTTGTAATCAAGGCTGAGTATTTTAATAAAAAAATTTCTGATGGTTTGTAATGTTGCCATGGAAAACAGGGAAGTGAACATGAACAAAATCATTATTTCTGTATTGCATAACCCAGATGCTGATATGTCAATATGCCAAGGCTGAAATCTGCTATAGGCTGGATCGTGCTGGGATGTGGGTGGGAATAGGAGCTAAAATATCAATGGTCATAGATGTACAAAAAACATAGCCTGTTATTTCCTAAAATGGCTATTATTTTCCTGAGACTGTTCACTTTTATCTGGTTCTCAGGCCATTTTCTAAACGCGCCGGGGTAAATGGATTATTAGGGGAACAATAGCTCAGCATCTGGTCAATGATGATCAGTGGACTAGGGACCTTTGTCGGAAATAATCTAACATTCATCGGTTACCGATTAAAATCGGTTAAAATGGGGTGCTATTCTGTTCACAGCAGCCGTATCGAACCTGACAATTGGGCAGGTCCTGCTGCCACAGCTATGTCAGCAACGATTAGCGCCAAGGTGGGCCGGCAGGCCAGCTTCACTTGCTGAAACTGAGGAAACTTGAGAGGAGGGTGATATAATCACGCTGTCTGTAAGTGGCCGAGAGTCCTGAGCGCTGGCGAAATTAATATGGGCATGTGCGTGAAACATTGATCCACTGTAAAAGCAAAACCGTACTATTGAATTCACTGTAAATGAATAGCGCTGGGTTATGAAATCGATTTCCTGATTCGAATCGATCTTGATTTACGTAACCCAGTATCGATTCATAAAATCGCAGGATTGATTTTTTAAATATATGCCTTTTATAGTCTGTGGCCTTTTCCCCAGGGATGTGTGAAGCTTTAAGCCTGTTAGTCTCACGTGACCCGCCTCGCGCCATGAGTTCTGGCGGACGGAAAGAAACAGATAAAAATACGCGGTAGTAGCTGCTTCACTGAAGGTACCGTCAAGCCTAAAGGCAGATGTCTGGGCGTTATTTCAGATTTCAGAAGCATGAAGACAGTGAAGAACAGGACAAAAGCGAAGTCGTTTGTAAGATGTGCAAAATGGAGGTGAAGTTTAACGAGACGTCATCCAGATGCGCAATCTGAAAACGTCCGATCCAAAACTTATTGGTCATGTTAAATAAAAATTTAATTAATCTGCCTACTTTGGGGTCAGTTCTTAATGCACATATTTTTTAAAATGCACAAGGTTAGAAGGTTATTGATCAGGATCAAGTATTTCCAGACATATGTAGCAGGCCCACAATTACATTGCAGACCCTGGAATGCCGTCATTTCATCACCTGTTGAAGTTTTTGTCATTGTTATCATGTCTGAGAGTCTGGCAGCGCTGAGACTCCAAATGGAATCATTTCAATGCTGAATGCTGGAAGAGGAACTTAGGGTAAGTGTTCAGCAAAAGATCACGGATGCCTGTAGGGAACGGACGTCTAGATGAGGACCAAAAGACCCTTATGGTGCAATAAAACTTCAAACTCACACCTCACCAAACAAGCGTGGCACGGAGGGAGCCATCATAGAACACAGCTGGCTGGCTGCCCAAAGAACTCGGGTGCTTTGCCGAGTGGAGTAATTGGGTTTTTTTTTTTCCTCCCAAAAGGTTGAGATCATAAATCGTATTAGAATTATTATGAGCAGTTCCTGCTGCATCTGGGAGAAGGCAAACCATTTATTATTATTATTTATTTTTTTTTGAGTTGAGCATATTGAGTCATTTCCAAGGTTCTTAGAAGGAGTCGACGCAACATTTATTAGACGGTTAGCAATTTCGTGGAAAGTGGCAGCGTGTTCAGCTTCAGCTGATGAGGCAGTCATCTGGAAGGGCGTTTTATACAGAAGGGGAGCAGAAAGCAGTAGATTATAGCCAAACTTTTAATCCAATACTTATCCGTTAGATTACGATTCGTTACAAATACATCACCAAAGGATGTTTTCCAGCATGAAATCAGCTGCTGCCTGGTGAGTGCGGAAGAGAACTTTTGAGGTGATAAATGCCTCTGTTAAGCAAACAACAAAAGCAGATACCGTGCAGTAAACATGTTTTCTCTCTCTCATTTTCACAAGCCTGACTGATAATGGGCAAGCGTGGCAATCGTCGTCATTTTCCATGTCTTTGGGTTTTGCTTGCAGTGTTTACATGGCTACACTACAAAGATAAAATACCTGAACGAAGGGGAACTTTTTTTGTAGTCCTGTGATGACTTTTTGCAAAAATTGGAGCTAGCACTCGCTGCCTTGCTGTCGGAACATGTTCAGTTTTAGCACCCTGCATGTGATGTGGTGATATCTAAACGGCTATCGTGGGGAGCAGGATGCCTGGTAACCTCTGATCTGGAGGTCAGATGCTAATAGGTACATAGATGGAGTCTACGGTCGGGGAATAAAAGCTCACCTATGTTGTATGTTTGCCATGTTTTTGATTTTTATGGTTTATCCAAATTCAGTTACACACAATCGTAAAAACCTAACGAAGTTCAAAGAAGAATTAATGAATTGGGGGGGACGGGCTATGGTAGTTGGAGTTGGGTGTAGAATTTAATTTGCGTTTCCTGTTTTGAATTAAACCTACATTAACCACTATGTAAGCATTATAACGTACAGCATGTATGCCTTACTTCCCTTGTTTTTCATGCCTGCCATTGTTCCCCATGACAACTTGCATCCCAGAAATCTCCAGCGTCTTCTCCCCAATTCCCCCCCCCCCCCCCCCCCCCGACAGACTTATGACTGACCAGTCGGCTTGGCTCACTCGTGCCCCATCTTGTCATTACTCTGCTTCCATGGTTCCGGTGGGTAAACAAGGCAGGTAAATGATGCTCTCTTCCTCCTCTAGATGAAGGCCCGTATTCGAAGGGGAACCGCGACTCTGCGGGGACCGACAATACCATGGCCTCCAGACGACAGAGTCTACCAGGTACACTCAGAACTGTCACTGTGCATGTGTGTGTGTGTGTGTGGGTTTGCATAGATCACATTTGAGGACCAAATTGTCCCCAAAGTGTAGCAAAGCCTAATATTTCCCTACTTTTGAGGACATCTTTTAAGGTCCCCATTTGGATAACCTCAGATTTAGAAAAATCTGTGAATGCAATCAAAAAAGTAAAAATTTGGGTTGGTTGCTTATGGTTAAGGTTAGGGATGGGTAGGGGTTAAGAGTGTCGTGATTGGGATTATGGTTTTTCCCATAGAAATGAATGGACGGTCCCCATTTAGATAGAAAGACCAACTGTGTGTGTGTGTGCGTGTGCTCCAAATGTCCTTCCCCATGCCAGCACACTGTCCCCAGCTGCCCCGTGAAGCATGTGTCTAGCTGTGGCATCCTCGGCATGTCCCTGCCTGCTCATCTTCCCCCTTTGAGTCCTTGTCACTCTATTCCGCCAATCTATCCATAGAAGGACATGATTCTTTAACCCAGCCAGCTTAAGACGGGGCTTTTTTTTATCTAATACATGTATTTTTTATGTGGTATGAACTCCAGAGGTATTCCACAAAGCAGAATTTCCCAGTTAGCTGGATAACTTAAGCCAAACATGAAAACCGTCCAGTTGGAGAAGAAATAAGTGACATTCCTATTAGACAATTTTTACAGTTGTCTTATGTTATCTGGCTAATGTAAAAATCTATACAATAAGGTATTGTTTGTATCCTTCGTTGGGGGTTGTTTTTGTCGTAATTTGTGTGACTTCAGGTGTGCTAGATCTTGATAGCATTTTAATGTTAGCCGAATGACCCTGAGTATTTCATCTCTTCTTCAGAGTTATTGCACTGCAGATGAAAAATACAGGCACATAATGCATCTTGAACGCATTGCATAATATACAGGATGTAGTGAGATATTTTAGATCAGTCTGTTGCACGGTATTGTTCATGAAGGATGATCCTGATTCTGAAGATGCTATCCATGTTCACTGATAATCATGTCACATGATTAGGACTGACAAATGTCATCAAGTTTGTTGCCCCAGATGTGAAAATCAAAGGCTATCAGCTTAAAAGAAAAATGTGTCACTTTTATTTCCTGGTGCAGATGATGTTTATTTATATGATGAACATCACTTAAATTCTTTAATTGGCTCGAGTATTTATAAAGCATGGTTCTTCATTGGCTGATTAGGTTTCCCTCTTAAGTTCAGTTAATCATTTTTTTATGAATAACTCCAGTTAATAAGTCCTTCTTGCTCAGTCTCGCTGGCCTGTGAACTTGATTCATTTTTTTTACAGTTGTAACTTCATGTCACGAAGCGCCATCTGTTCACATTAAAGAAAGGGCACTTCAGCAGTTAACAGCTTGCCTGCAGGCACCCCCCCCCTCCCTCCCCCGCATCTCTGCTGTGTTTGCTTGTGATCTCCAGGGTCTTTTAGATATTCCTCGTGCCCCCAAAACTGGGACAAGCGATGTCTGCCCCACTGTCCCGTTTTTCAGCAGAACAGCTTCGCGGTATCGAAGGGGGGGTCGGGGGGGGGGATGGTAGGCAGAGCACAAAGAGCAGAGCCAGCAGTTATCATCGGTTTTTTTTTCCAAGTCACTGTCTAATGATAAATTATGAATTTCTGTAGGCTCCGTTTCATGGCAGGAACTCAGAGCTGGCAAACTGCACAGCTTCCAGTGAGATTAATAATTCGATGGGCCCTGAGTTTATCTGTAATTCTGCTTATTCCAGTAATGCACACTAACAAGCAACCTGTAATCCACTCCCCACCCCCTCAATTCTGGACCAGGAATCAGGTTGCTCCACCTGTCCACCCAGATGTGCTAGCACAACAAACATGTACTGATCAGGGCTCTTTGTAGGACATGACAGTTACCATCCTGGCCCAAGTGCTACAAGGACACCAGGTTGTATAACCAGCCACAGCATCTCAGCCCTGTAGTCGCTGCCTTTCAAATGTTGAGACTAAAATAATAAACAAGGATTTATGCTGGACAAAAAGAGATTTTTTTTAAATCTTTCTCTTTTGAGCTAAGTGTTTAATTATAACTAAATGTGAATTTTCCACATGCACACGCCAAAACAAGTTTCTGTCTCCCCCTGTAGCATAATTACCTAAACAGTCATCAGAGATGTTGCCAAAGATCTGCATCATATTTTGAGGCAGTTTCATCATGTTGTGTGTTTTCAGATGCGTTGTGCTCATCCTAAAGGAGCTCCTGATTGTTTTCTTTCCCCCCACCGGCTCCCCACCCCCCCACTTGCGGTTTTGTTTCTCGGCAGGAGAGCTCCGGGGGCTGACAGTGGTGGAGCTGATCAAGAAGGAGGGCAGCACCTTGGGCCTGACAATCTCCGGGGGCACCGATAAGGACGGCAAGCCCCGCGTCTCCAACCTGCGGCCAGGGGGCCTCGCTGCCAGGTCAGCGCCTGCCTGATGTCCCCCACAATGTGACAGAAACCTTTTTTCAGGTCCCCACAAGGGGAAATGGAAATTTATAAAAATGCGTGACTGCAACCAAAAAACTAAAATTGCCAGAAGTCTTGTATGTTGTTAGATTACTTATGGTTAAGGTTGCAGATGGGTAGGGGTTATGTTTATCATTGTTGGGATTAGGATTATGCCCACAAAAATGAATGGATGGTCCCCACAGAGATGTGAATACAAACATGTGTGCCTGTGTGTGGGGATTATGTCTATGTTAGATTTTGGGGACCAAAGGTCCCCCTCAATGTAATAAAATCCTGTTATTTTGACGTTATGGGGACCATATTTCAGGTCCCCACAAAGGTCTGTGAATGTAATCAAAACAGTAAAAATGCCAAAAGTCTCATATTTTGTTTGGTTACTTATGGTTAAGGTTAGGGATGGGTAGGGGTTAAGGTCATCATGTTTGGATTAGAGTTTTCGCCATAGAAATGAATGGACAGTCCCAAACAATTACAAACCTGTGTGTGTGTGTGTGTGTGTGTGTGTGTGTGTGCGCCTGCTTAGCACTGGCGTGACTCCTCAACAAACACACACACACACACACACACACAGAAATGTGTGTTTAGGAGAGTCACAGCAGGATGCTCCGTGAATTACTCAGCGATGCTTAAGGGCAGGTTTTCAGGGGGAATATTTTCAAAAGGCTCAGCTGATGATGCAGAAATGATGCAGAAAATGCCTTTGGGGATTTCATTTTTTTTTATTCCTGATCTAACTACTTGTAAAAGCTGCCCTGGATTGGAGCCAGCTTAGGCTAACCATTCCAGCTTATTTAGGGTGAATATATTTACGCCTGAGCATGAATAATGTCCTTTAAACTTAACTGTGCAAGCTGAACAGGTAAATTTCTTTTCAGAACCCTTATATATCAAATCTGTAAAAAATAAGCAAAGTGATATGAATCAACAGACTGACATTTTGATTTGGTTAAAAGTGGCGTCTTTTTGTACTTCCGAGGAGAGAACACTGTGAAATTAATAGCAAGAGTTGTTTGTTCACGTGTAATCCGAGTTTTGCATTTGTAATATACATTTTTACCCAAAGAAACATGAAGTTGTACCCATTTTTTACAGCTGTGTATTTTGCTGTAGCCATTCAGGTGAAAGAAGGCTATTAAAGTAGGAACTCTTCTGGGACTCAAACCTCCACACCATGTTACCCGTCAACCCATTTTACAGCTGATATGGATGTTGGCTAAATTACAGTTTTTTCTGTTATATATACAGACGCTCCTCTACTTACAAACTATCAACTTACGTACTTTCAACCATACGAACGAAGAGGACTGTAAATCCAAAATGTCCTCATTGGGCTCCCGTTTCCTGTCCGTAGTATCAATTTTTTTTCTGCGCGCCAATTCCGCCTAGTATGATTTCTGGCCGCTACTCCCGCCACGCAGCAGCGTAACGTGCGTACTCTCACCATCCTAGTTCTTTGTACTTGCGTATATCCTTAATAACGACTTACGAATATTTCAAGTTACGAACAGCCATTCAGAACATATCTCATTCGTAAGTAGAGGAGCGGTCGGTGTGCTGTCTCTGTGGGTTAAGACTTACCTGTGATCAGGAGGTTGCCAGTTCAAATCCCATGGTTGGCAGAGTGATGTCACCATTGCGCCCTGGAACAAGACCATTAACCCCAAATAGCTCCAGGGACTGGCTGTCACTGCTTTCTCAAAAATGTACATCGCTTTGCATAAAAGCATCTGATGAATGTAAATGTCGTATTACTGTATCTATAGAATATGTTCATTGCTGGCTGCAGTGCCGGTATCAGAAAAATGGTGCAGCTGATGTTTTTGAAAATCTGAAATAACCGTAAAACACCAGCCTGATCGCATGAGCCACATGCACTTTGATCTGTTATTGTCTCCATCATTTTGGACCAAGTTTAGTTTTTTCCTAACTAAGACTGCGTTTTTATGACTGCGATTAAAATATCTAATTTCTCTGCTTTTCTCCTTTATGTTACATATTGAGCTGCAGCTTACAGTAGTACTGTGTGCCCCGGTTGCATTCTCATCTTTATCTATAATGGAATCGTCCCCAAAGACATAATCACAACCTTTATCAGCCTCCCTCTGTCTGCCTTTATGCAGTTTAGTCCTTTGACTGTATACCCTTTTTTCTCCAATAGTTTTTGCCTGTGGTTTAACAGGTTAATGTGATAGATCCCTGTACATAACTGCAGAATTACTTGCCGCTCGGAATATGGAGCCTGTTGTAGGAGTCATCTCTGTATTTGAAATTAGCACTAGGATCAATTTTTTACTTTTTATTTTCCCACACATGAGTTTTGTGCCAAGCTGTATGGCCCAGAAGAGAGCTAAACATAAACAGCATTTCTCCCATTTATATATGTATATACACACACACACACACACACGGACTGTATGTTGAGTGCTACATATATGCTGATTACTACATTACTTTGCTTAAATGGTGAGGTACTGGTGTTCAAATTGTACCATTAGTATAATTCAGCATCAGTGCTTACATACTGTATATTTTCAATATGTACTTTAAACATCTAGTATCTAGTATGCATGTATAAAAAGAATTTTGGATGTTTTATTAAACAGGGAATTCTGCAAGAAGTCTGATGTAGACTGTTGAACACATTTCCGCCAGCTTGGAATATTTTCAGAATTGCCAACTATAGAATATATGATGTGTATTGGATGTGCATTAATATATTTGTTTGTCGTACGTAAATCATGAAATTACAAACATGGCTCCAAGATTGACTGGGTATGAAAGTCATTGGATCATTAGATCAATATAAGACAAATTTAGCACTGCAGAGATGACGGATCGCATGTGTTATCGCCAGGTAGGTGTCACAAACCTGTGGGCTAGTATGTATCTATACAGCCCAGGGATGGATTATGGGTTGTGTGGGCCCCTGGGCAAAACATTCGCGAGGGCCCCCCCCGCCACAACACCACCAGCACCACCACCACAACCACCACAATTCAAGTGCCCTTGGCAGCCAAACGCCCTCCCTCCATGTTTCCATCAGAGGCCCTATAGGATCAGGGGCCCTTGTAGGCAGAGGTTCAAAGAATGTAGGCCCTCTAAAATAGACAAACGAAAATACATTGTTGATAAGCGTTGCAAATTGTTTTGGGCTAGGGGCCCCACGGGCCCCCTGCACCCCAAGGGCCCCTGGGCAGCGGCCCCGCTGGCCCGGTCCGTAATCCGTCCCTGATACAGCCCATATCTGTGTGTTAGGAGCGACCAGCTTAACGTGGGAGACTACATCAAGTCGGTCAATGGGATCAACCTGACCAAGCTGCGCCATGATGAGATCATCAGCCTGCTGAAGAACGTCGGCGAGCGGGTGATGCTGGAGGTGGAGTACGAGCTGCCCCCACCAGGTACGGACTTGGGTATTTAGCCTGGGATATATTCAGCGCTTTGGCCTGGTTGGGAGTTGGTAAATGCATGTTATAAACATGTGACAAGATGTGTGCATGCTTACTGATTCTTGTAGCGAATCCTCCTCTGTGTTGACTGCATAATAATGAATCATTTACCCCGTCATCCATCAGTAAAATCATCGCCTTTGTTTTAAATTTGGCTGTGGGTGCCTGATAGCACAGGTTTCATTATTTGGGATTTAATCATGTATTTATGGTGTTACAGGCTCTATTCAGTCCTGACCTTAAAGGGAAAATTCAGTTATACGTGATGCAGGTAAAGATTAGCGCAGGTGCCTCACACTTTGAGGGTCACTGCACTTACGGGTCGGGATTTTGACCCAGAACTAGGCAGGTTGAAGTCGTGTTGTCTTTCTGAGCACCGACTCCTGCAAATTATCACAATGGCTGATTTCCAAAAAAAGGAAGGTGTCATGGGTATGTTTAAAATTGATAAGAAGAGACCCTATTCTCTTAGAATGCACCCTTAGATAGAACGTAATGGTTCGAGCAGGCAACAGGTTTGATTTATGTGCTACCTGTCAGCCATACAGCATACTTCCTATTATCCAGTGAAGGACCCACCCTTGTTTAATGTAGCATGTATTTGTACAGATTTTTGGTACTTTTACTAAAAAGACAAGCGCACAGTGTTCAGAAATTTGGTTTGATTTTTATAGATATTACTACTACTCCCAAGTAAGAAAGGGTTCTTCTGTTGTACTTTGGTTTCAAGTTGGACTTAATTTGTTCTTTTGTGCATTATTTATTTAAGAAAAAAACAATGTAATATGCAAAATGCCTGTATTTGATGTATTTGAGTTTCAACTCGTTTTCTATACAGATAACGAAATTTTAACAAGATATCTGCACCTTGCTGACCTTTTCAAATACAGTGATGTATCAGTCTAGCCGATTTGCTTTTACTCTCTGCCAGCTGTGATTTGGCAGCTCTCAGTCTCTGTGCCTCTCCTAGCTCCAGACAGTACATCAGGTGTCATTTCCAAGACAATCGAGATATGTTTGCACAAAGAAGGCAACAGCTTCGGCTTCGTGATGAGAGGTAAGCTCTCGTGTCCATGTCCATTATCCTCACCGTCATTTATTCTGAGTGTTTTCATCACAGTTGCAGAACTATGGGTAAAACCTGACTCGACATGTCCTGCATACCTTGTCAGCTGGGAATGGTAGCGGTAATGAAATGCCATCTGTAAAATACGACGTCGAGTTGGCAAAGAATTGAAATCGTCACCTGTGTAGTCACCCGTCTTTATATCTAACCTTATGCTTTCTGCACATCTAATGTAGCCTGGGAGGTTCTTTGCACTCGAGTCACTGAGGTGTGTCTTGGAAGTATAATGAGTGTCCCAAAATGGGCGACCCAAAGCCCCTGTCAGCTTGCAGATTGCACTGCCATGGTGTTGTGATCCGGATGCTTCAGGTGGATGTCTCATGTGGTGATTTAGGAGGCTCTCATGAAGACTGGCAGAAGTCCCGCCCCCTGGTGGTGACCTATGTGAGACCGGGAGGACCTGCAGACAGGTAATGTTTGGAGATCTTTTGTCCTCTTAACAGAAATCAAAATGGGGGCAGAATGTCACTGGTACACCTCCTGGCCAGAGGGAAAGGCAAGCAACAGGTCAGGATTTTAGTTTGCTTCACAGAATTTAATTACAGTGACGTAGACTCCAAAATATAAGGTGCCAAATTTAGAGGGTTTGTTTCTAGCTACTGACACAGAATAGAGTGTAACACTGATACTTCATTAATTCCCATGGGGAATTTCTCTCTTCATCTACCCCATCTCGCTCTCCATGAGACACACATGCAGGTGAGAGCAAGCTTGGGGGTCACTGCACAGGGCCAGCCAGCGTGCCGCACCCCTGGGGCTGGGGGGTTAAGGGCCTTGCTTAAGGGCCCACGGACATGTGACTATTCCGCTGAGGTTCACACTAGCAATCTTCTGATCACAGAGGCTTAGCCCATGGAGCCACACACTGCCCTGCTTTTGGTGTTGTCTTCTGAGACAGAAATCACATTGTCAGGCATCTTCTATTCAAAGGCTGTCTTGGAAGCCTCAGTGTCCCCAGTTGAATAGTGTCCACTCAAGGAGCATGAGGCACTATGGATTGGAAAGCAATGATCTGTGTGGTTTTTTAAGATTAAATGTTTGTTTATTTTCCATGGAGATTCATGGTGCCATTTGGGGTCTTTTACTGTTATGTGGAAGTACCTTCTCTGTGATGCACTTTCAGCCTTCAGCTCCCCTATCGCAAGCTCACCTCGTTAACCGTTATTCCTCACTCCGTATTGATTTTGAGGATGAGCTCGGCCCTCTATGACTCGTAATAAACAACGTGGACACCGGTGCCCCCGACCTGTCCTCCCCTCTCCGTCCCGCCACAGACAGGGCACCCTGAAAGTCGGCGACCGGCTGCTGAGTGCCGATGCCGTACCCATGCACAACGCCAGCCACACCGACGCCCTGGCCGTGCTGACGCAGTGCGGCCAGGAGGCGCTCTTCCAGATCGAGTATGACGTCTCCATTATGGGTGAGCCTGTCGCGATAAAAATCCCTGCATGTCATTCTTGCCCTGCCCCAATTATTAACGATACATACATCTTTTGCATCCTTGCCGATCAAGACCAAGAGCACAAATACCATCTTTGCATTCTTTACTCCCAGATGTTCTACTGGACTTGAATCATATCCTTGTGATACAACCACACCTGGAAAAACTTATTGTTGGGGTGATTTCCACAAAATAAACTTCTTATGAACATTTGTCAGAATTTTCGTTTTCGGTTTGAGTTGAAGGGAAGTCCCCACAAATATTGCCGCTAGCTATTTCACTTGTATGTTGATTTAAGCATTCAATAATCTGTAGCTATCATTTTGAGTGAGTCTCTTCTAGATTTACCCGGCACTTTTTGTCCATTCTTTTAAATATATATTTTGCTCAGAGTTGCTCATCTGAGTTCTTCCCGGACTTTGAACAGGACGCCCATTTCCTCTGAAGTAATTACTTTCTTGTTCTCAGGCTCCTTCCATGTAGAGCGATAGGTTTTGGTCTATGGAAGAGTAATTTGCCAAGAGACCAGTTTTGTCTTCCTTCTGCTGAAAACGGCCTTTACTAGCATCACAGTGCATTACACATGACATTACAGTGATGTCTTGTGCCAAACGTGTGGCCTGATTTTATTTTCAGATGATAACTTTCCCCACGCTGATCAAGCATCTCTCTGCATGCGTGGAATTTGCATAAGTTCTCCATTTCCAAAGCCAGTTTTTTTACTAATGACATGTTTTTCCACCCTGCTGTACCAGCTGATTTTGTAGATGTTGTGGGCATCGCTGACTGATCCTTTCCATCTTGGGCACTGAGCTCTGTATCTCTTTAATGTTACCGCCGTCCTCGCAGCGCTCAGTGATGTCCTCATTGCCTGATGGCTCGATTTTGATGGACAGCCTAATCAGGATGGGTGTTATGATGCATCTTCTGAGTAGAGATTGTGCTCCCAGCGATGTCTGTGCGCTGTCCATGAGCTTTCATGGTCCTGATTTAAAATTCCGAAGCTTCCTGAGTGTGGAACCTCACAGAGACACTGATTCTGGTGTTTTTATTTTTAAACTTACTTTTGCACATAGTCAGTAAGCATTTAGTTTAAAGGTAATTTTATAAACTTGCATTATATGACAGTGATTGCGCTTTTTTTTGTAAGGTGTGCGTAGGGTAAATGCTACATTTAGGTTATTAATAAACACGAAAGGCATTGTTGGGATTTCCTTAATTTTTTAGGAAATAAAGACGCAAAACCAATAGCGATAATTGTTGAATTTTAATGGGAATTTTAAGTATGATGAAATCTATGTGCATATAAACTGAATATATAAATATCTGTATTCAGACCTACATAATGTCATTGCAGAAGCTGCCTCCTCAGCAGAATGTCAAAAGGAGCCAGTGAGAACTTTGCCATGTAAAAAGCAAAAGTAATAATAAAAATGTAAAAAGTACAAGAATAAAAATAACATGGGAAAATAATGGCAAAAGTGGAAATTTCTGCTGAAATCCCATTAACACCCGTGTGTGTCCTGGTCCGGACAGGCGGCCATGACAGGTGCTGTGTTGCCTTATAGTTCACAGTCCATGTCTTTGACCTGCTGCTTGGGTAGACCCTGAATTTCTTTGAATTTTGGGAGAAACCCAAACCAACCAACTCCCCCCCCCCCCCAACCAAAGCTACCATTATCCATGCATCCACACTAATGTGCCCCTGATTACAACCCCTATTTGTGACCAACTTTGGGGGGCCTGCGCAAGTGGTAATAATCACTGCCCCTGGCCGCAAGTGGGGGGGGGGGAGGGTAAGACAAAACCAGTACACGTCTGTGTGTGATTTGCCGCGCAGATACAGTGACGAACGCCTCGGGCCCCCTGCTGGTGGAGATAGCCAAGTCGCCCGGCACCGCACTGGGCATCACCCTGGCCACAGCCACACACAGGAGCAAGCAGGTCATCATCATCGACAAGATCAAGCCTGCCAGCGTGGTGGACAGGTGGGCGTTTGCGTCCGGGCGAGAGGTCACCCACCTCTCTGGTGCCAAAAAGTATTCCAACCTCACACAAGCATCATAAATAGTACTTTGTATTTAAAGGATGTTCATTAAAAAATGTATGTTGTAAACAGCTTAATTAGTCCTTTGCTATTTTTGTAATGCTCCCTGTTGCATCCATCCATCCATGGATCTTCCATGCCTGTTTACCCAGTAGACGGTCAGTGCTGTATGAGCCCAGGGCCTAATCGCAGAAGCACATGGGACACCCTGGAAGGGATGCCAATCCATCATAGGGCTCCTTTTCACACACCAGTTACTCCACTGTGGATGGATAGTGGAGTACTCAGGAATTTCCATACAACACGCAGATCTCACAGGCGCAGATTGGAGGCGGATCTAAACCACCGCAGTGCCGAGGCAACAGTGCTGGCCGCTGAGCCCCTGCCTCGCCATCCCCACTTACGCTTTCCGTTTGTTTATGATTCCGTCCGCCATTTGCATTCACAGCAGAACCTCTCTCCTTCTGTCGCAGGTGTGGGGCACTGCATGCGGGCGACCACATCCTGTCCATCGACGGCACCAGTACAGAGCACTGCTCCCTGCTGGAAGCCACACAGCTGCTGGCCAGCACCTCCGATCACGTCAAGCTGGAGATCCTGCCCGCGCACCACACCCGGCTGCCCAGCCAGCCGCAGGACACCGGTGAGCAAAGCAGAGGATCATGGGGATTCGCAGGGGTGGGGACGAGGTTTATCTCAGGAGATCCCAAAGTTAATCAATGAACCGATTATGCGTTCCTACATCTCCAACAGAAGTCTGATGATTTCTGTTTTACCGAAACAGGCTACGATATTTTTGGGAAGAGAGATTTATTGACAGGTAAATCATGATAAAATGTCAATTGTCAAAAAAATGAAAAGTGTAAAACAGCATTTGTTTAATTCCCTCTTGTTGACTGGCCAATCAGGGCCAGTCAGTAATAATGGCTGACTAGCGTTACGCTGGTAGGATCCGAATTCAGGGTAAGCCACTCTCCAAGATTATCGTATTAGTATTTTTGTTGTAAGGCATGCTCATGAGTTACCTTACCCAAATATTTAAATATATATAATGTAAAGTTCAATTTACATGTCTGAGCAGCCAGCGCTTGTGGAACATCAATCTTCATAGCTTGTCTGTCCCGAGCAGAACATTGTGGCATTTTGATTTATTTTCCTGCCTTCGCCTTATGTTAGCTAGACACCCAATGAAGTTAGTGTTTTATTACAAAACATTTATGCAGTTGTCATATCTTTGACCTAAAGCCTTTTCCAGTCTGCGTTTAGAATTCATTGCCATGTGTATGTGGCTTTTGCACACACTGCACACACTGCACACACTGCACACACTGCACACACTGGATTTTGTCCTCCCCGTGTCATCGTGGGATTTCCTCCAGA